AATTTTGTTTTCTTTTCTTTCGTTTTCTTTTGTTTTTGATGTGTTAAAAAAAAAAAAGAACTTGAAGGATGTGGTTAGTACATTAATTCGTTATACCACCTAAAAGGATTGGTCTTTACTTTGTTGTGCGGCAAAAATGAAGGCTTTGTTTAAAACTATGCATGTAATTTTTTTTTGGTATCTCATGGACCACCTGGTTATTTACAACATTAACACCAGCGGAAAAAAAAAAACGGAATCTGAGACATGGGAGGTGTTGCCAAGAACAGGAATGCAATTAAAAGAAATGAATGAAGGCTACATAGTGTGTTATTCTGTTATTGTAAATCATGCTCTTCCTTTGACACGTGCCAACAGGTATTCTTTTTTTTTTTTTTGTTCTGCTCTCTCTCTTCCGTTTTTCTTGGTCCTGCTTTGTATGGCCCGTTGCTCACAATATATATGGATGCACGTGACTCTTTATGTCACTCTCGCTGAGAAAGAGAAAAGGGAATTTATGCATGACAAAATGACGTTCAAGGGGATTCAACCAAACGAGCTGAGTCCGCTAACTACCCTCACTGGGTCAGATATTAGTTTAGAGGATGCGGTTCGTTGTTCTGCTACTTTTCTTCTTTGGGAGCGGTTATACGGGATAACAACAGTGTCTCCAACAGCGTACAAGACACGTCTGTATTGCCTGCAGCAGCGACAACGTAGTTCGGCAGTGGACAGTTCAACTGGGCCAGCCCGGAAAAATGGCTTGTTGCTTCAACGCCCGTACGTTGTCAGAACGCAGGGGTCGTTTATGCATGACATGTCGAAGTTTGAGGGTGGGCGGGAGGCAGGTTACAGCGTCCCTCGCGATGATGTACCTGGGTACGCCTCAATGGAGGCATTGCCACAGGGGGGAAAAAATGACTTCAGTGAGGGTAACAGCATCGCGGCCACGGATGATTTCCACAGAGATGTAAAAAACACCGTGGTGCAACGAGAGCGTTCGCCTTCTCTGAGGGGAAGTAAAAAGTGTGAGACCTCTCCTTCTACAGATGAAGTTGAGAATCGGGAGTTGTTCTCCTTACCTCCGCTTTTGTCTACGCCGCCAGCTGGACAGGGTGTCCCGTCGTCATGTAGCGGGCTATTTTCACCACACACACCATATCGATCAGTTGCGGAGGAAACGACACTGCAATTTCAGGAAACCAATGTCAGGGAAGACAACGTCATGGTGAGAGGTCTGGAATCGGGTGGTGTATCTGGCGATGTTTGGCCTCCACAGAGTCCAGCAAGTGACGTGTTGAAATTGGGAAATTATGATAATACTACTGATAATACCAGAGGGAGTGAATTTTTTGAGATCCGCGCTGGTAGAGGTAAAACGGATCAAACACAACCTGATCCGACGCGTGTAACGAGTCATCCTGCGCCTCAATGGCCGCGATGGGAGACATCAATAGAGCCAAGGCGTGTCACTAACAATGAAGTGGTGAATGAGGCAATACAGTGTGGCAACCATGGAACTGAGAGGGTGATCATGTTTCCGGAAGACGTTTCTGTTCACTCTGATGATGTGCAGGCAACAGTTGCTTCCGGTGCTGGACCTTCCTCTCGGAGTAGGAGAGGTGTTCTACTTGCCTCTTCGCTCCAACCCACGCATGGGAGGGTCAGCAGCGAAACACCACTGGGAAGGATATCGGGCGAGGCAAAAGTCGACGGTATAGCTGCGACACAATTGAGGGCAGGGGAGGAAACAGAGAGGAAAACGCGAAAGTATTGCCCCCCCGCGTTCTATTCTGCTCGGGTACCACCTGATAGTGCTGTAACGGCTGCGATGGGTGAAGGTGGTGAGGTGGTTTCTTACGCGCAGGGGAGCGGCGGCACTTACGTTCCAGCAAGAAAAACCACAGCAGATGTTCCTGTGGTCACCCACACGGAGCCGGCCGTTCAGGATCCACACGACGATGCCATATCACCACCACAAGACTGGGCTTCTTCCCTTTTTGTGGAAACCAGCCCCCTTGCTTCCTCTGATTCCTCTTTTTCGGAGGATCTTCAGGGAACGGAGGGTGATGAGCGACGTTCCCCAGTGATGAATACGCCTACCGGTTCTTGGGGCGATGAGCATGTCGTGCCTTACTTGTCGTTGGGGAAGGACAGAAAAACGGCGTCTCCCCGCGCATCGCCCCAGGAACCCGAGAACGGTGGACCTCCTCATCAGTGGCTTGGGGAAAAAGAAGAAGAAGAGGCGAGGAATATTTCTGTTGAAGAGCCAGCGGATAAGCCATTTTCAGTATCACCATCGCCGTCTTTCAAAGACTATGAATGGGCCGCAAAGGCACAAGAGGCATTGGAACAGCAACAAAGACGCTTTTGTGCTCGCACCCCATCCGCCAACCCCCCGTCTCCACCTCCCCCTTTGCAGGTTTGTGGGTTCGAGCTGCCCCAGCCGCCCCGAGGTCGCTATCCCGCCGTCCCCGTCTCCTTCAACCGGGAGCGAGACGTCGCCAGTGGCAAGAGCCCGCAGTCTGCCCCGGAGAAGCTCCGGGATCCTTCTGCGTTGCCCAAGAACGCAGCATCACTGCCAGAGCGCAATTCCGCCAAAAAGCTCCCCAGCAAGCGTGCCTCGCGAACTGCCCTGCGTCCTCGGAGAGCGGAGCTCGGCCAAGGACATCTGTCAGGGACGCCCAAACCCGATGCAAACACGCGGAAGCGACCCAGGGAGGCCATGATATCTTCCCCTCCAGCAGAGGAATTCCCGCTTCCTCGTACAATGCCAATGAGTGAGCCTGCAATACGGAAAAAAAAGGACACGAAGAAAAAACAAAACGGCAATGACTTTCCTTTCCTTTCGTTTCAATTTTTTTTTTTTTTTACTTTCTCGTCTTTTTTTGTCTTTTCTACAGGGTGGAAGCGAACCGCGCCCAATGCTCACTCCTACTGCGCACCTCCATCTCACACTTATTTATTGAAGGGAGGATTTATTTTAAATCCTTCTCCCTTGACAGTTTTTATTCTTTTTCATTCCCCACAACAGGAAGGCGAGAGGGGCATCTGCTCACCGTAAGACAC